CTCATGGCAGCCCAGCTCCAGGTTGAGCTGTTGTTCAGCATCTTAGCTGTGGAGGGCAGTGTCACTGGCCCTCATATGTGGGATCCGAACCGGGGTCTTCTGGCATCCCAAGCCAGTTCTTAACCATCGCACCACTCAGCTGGCCCTGTCCCTTCTTTTTAAGCTTTGGATTGTCCATTGTGATGTCAGGTGACTTCAGTTTCCCCTTAGGGGAATATCAGGGTGCTGAGCCCTCTTCTGATTGTCAATGGGGTTTCTTAAATGTGCATTCTGCTATGTTTAAAATTCAGAGGCTGCTGAGAGGAGGTGGCCCCTTGGGCCTTCCATCTTAATACTGTTATCTAATTGTCCTGACACTGTCCCTGAGATGGGCTGGACTAAAGGGATGGGGTTCCTAATGTAGGAGAGAGAGGGAAGGGAGATTGAGCACCTGGAGTGGGTGCTTTAAAAGGCAGAGTATATAATAGGGCTTTACCCAGCCAGTAAGAGGGTATGAAGGTGGTGCTGGAGCTGGGGGTGGGGGAGAGTGGTGAGGGACAGGGAGAGGGGCCTCTAGGGGACTAGAAAGAGTCAGGAAAAAAGCTGTATTGCCCAGTCCAGACCAGCTGCTTTACCCAGCCCTAGGGCGGCTGTGACCTAAGTGCCAAGGGCACTGGTATTCCCAGCTTTTTGTTCTAGGACCCAGACTGTTGTTACCTGGGCAGGTGGGATGCTGGGCAGAACATCTGCTAGAGGAGGAGAGCTCTTTAATGTGAGGACTAGAGAACCCATCCATCTCCCACTCAGGATGCAGGGACCTGAGGGAGATTTGAGGAAGGGGCTGCTTCAGGCTGGACTTGGGCCCTGGAATGAAAGGTGATTAGAGGACAGGGAGAGGCTGGATGGAGAGGAGTGTAGTAGATTCACACAGCAGGTCCTGAAGCTCCCACAGTTTAGGTACTGCCCTCCCTAAGACCCAGTCCCATTCAGAATGGATGGAAAGAGGGGGAGTGAGGCCCTGTAGCAAGCCAGGCTCCAAGCACAGGAGAAGCCAGCAATCTGAGTCTAGCCTCTGTTCTCCAAGTCCCTGGGTCTTTCTTCTCCCACCTCCCTAAGACTCAAGGAGTCTTGGTTTAATGCCTAAGTCTCCAGAGTGGGGGTATGTGGTGGCACCCACATGGGGACACAGAGGCACAGGCAATCATATCCCAGGATCACCTAAGGTCCTATTATTCTAATGTCACCCAAATGAATCAGCCAACACATATTAAGTATTTTCTGTGTTGAGCACTGTTCTAAAGCACTTCATTTGTACTTTAGGGTCCTCAAACAACCCCCATGCGGTAGGTCCTGTTATTATTATATCTTCATTTTACAAATTAAGCTAAGAGCGTTTGGGTAACTTGCCATTAGTCACACAGCTTATAAGTAAGCTGTATAACCAGGACTCAAAGGCAAGCCAGCTGACTTGAGAGATGGCACTCAAACCCCTGCAATACTGCCTCCCAAGCTACAAGGCCACCATGATCTCTTATTGTGTGCCCAGAGGTGAGCTGATGCAATGCAAGGGTAGTCCAAGAAATGAAACTGACATGCTTGCATACAAACACTACCCATGTTTGTGCAAACGTGTAGCTACATTCAGTGTCATCCTTAAGCGTTCCCACATGCATGCAACTCCCTCTTTCTCAGCCCAGGCACATGAACACACACAGATTATTTGCACAGAGGGAATGGAGACCAGACCTTTCCTGTTTCCTCCCTCTTTGATTCAAATGGGCGGAGCTCAAGCCTCTCTAACCCCTCCTGGTTCCCACTGGCTTCTGAATCTTCTCTCCTCCACACCCCCCTGCCCTCCAAACCTCCTCCCCCAGCCCCTTCCTGGCTGTTGGCTGTGGCCTGTAGCAGCAGCTGACTCCACTTAGATGCTGGCAGTCCCTGTCCCAGATCAAAGGCAGGGCGGCTAATTGTGCGTCTTAAGGAGTCCCCCCCTCAATGCTCCGGGCAGCCCAGCTGGCCAGGGCCCCACCCCTCTCCCCCTCCAGCTGGCCAGATGGCACAGTGCCTGCGTCTGCCCCAGACAGTCGGGGCCAGGACCGAAACTGGGGCCCTGAATGGGAGCTGGGGGCAGATCCAGTAGGTTGGACTTCTCTGAGACCTGGATGTTTGGAACAGAGGGTGGCCATGCACGCCCTGCCGGGTCACACCTACATGTGGCAGTGACAGCTGCCAGAAGCCATGGGATGGTCTCTTTGCCTGAGGTAGGTAGAGGTGTTCTCTGTGAACTGTGGGCTCTATTTCTCCATATTCCTCCAGGCCTGCACTTGAATGTAACAGAGACTGGAAGATGATGGTTGGCCCAGAACATCCCCCTGGACCAGCCTCTTGCTCTTCCCTGGGCCCATGCATAGACAGGGCCCTAGTAACTGGGAACTGGGCTACCTGGGTTTCTTACTCAGCCGCAGGTCTTCCATAGAGTCCAAAGTCCATCAGCAGAAAGTTGTCAGGCCTGGGAGCTGGGCGAGCTGGGGCTGGGTCAGCTCCATAACCCCTGTGACCTAGGGCAGGGGTGGGCAAACTTTTGAGACAGAAGAACCGCCAGGGGTCAGCAAACTGCGGCTCACGAGCCACATGCGGCTCTTTGGGTACGGACATGTGGCTCTGAAGTAAAATTGAAAATGAAAATAAAACTCTCATGATTTCATTTATAAAATCTTTAAAGGATATTATCCACATAATGGTAATTATGTAAAACTATATGTATGGCTCTCAAATAATTTTTAAATTGTTGTGAGGGACAGGATTGGCTCTTCCAGGGGTTGGCAAACTTTTGAGATGGAACGTACCCAAAGAGCCACATGTGGTTTGTGAGCCACAGTTTGCCGACCCCTGATCTAGGGTATCCCCCCTTTTGCAATGTGTGTGTGTTTTGTGCAGGGGGATTTCTGAGGCCTAGGCTGCCTCTGAAGGTCTGAGTATTGCCATTTGTCCTAGGAGCATGCTGGTGACTCAGCAATAAGAGAAGTGTTCAGGGTTCCACAGATAAAAGGCAAGAGATAAACACAGGGTGTGCTCCCCATTTTGGGTCTGCCCTCCTTTCCAGAGCAATGTCTACTCTCCTGCAGCTCCCACCAATTCTGAGCACCCCCTTTGAAGGCTCCAGTGCAATCCCCATCCCTTACTCTTTGCTCATAGCTGGACTTCTTGATCCTAAGATGCCACGAGATGGAAAGAGAAGATAGAAAGGGATAGTCTGCTTTATGAGCTTCTGTTGGGCCAGATGATTTATTCTAGAGTGGGTCATGAGCTGCTGAACTCTGTCCCTGATTGGGGAAACAAAAAAACAATGGCCTGAAACTGCAGCAGTAGTGAGTGAGGTCAGACAGCAGGAAGAATTTCTCAATAATAGTGAATGTTTATGTAGTACTTACTATAATAAGGGATTATTCTAAGCATCTTAAATTTACTAACTCATTTAATTCTTGGAATGACAATGAGGCAGGTAATAATAACCCTGTTTTACAAATGAAAAAACTGAGGCACAGAAAATTCAAGTCACTTGGCCAAGGTCATATAACTATTAACATCTACCCTGTTTCCCTGAAAATAAGACCTAGCCAGAGAATAAGTCGTAGCATGATTCCTCTAGGATATGGAGGGCATGCGCCCCTCACATGAGGGTTTTATGACCTGTTTCAGGGAGAAGGGTGCCTTTTCCACGAACTCCTTCAGCTTAAAATATTCAGCATGCCAAGGTGCCATATTTTGGCACCTAAAATGCTACAGCTTATTTTTCAGATAGGTCTTATTTTAGGGGAAACCGGGTAGTAAACGGAAGAGCCCAGATTTTCAACCCAGGTAATCTGGCTTTAGAGTTCACATTCTTAACTACTACTACACATCTTTGGTTGTGTTTTGTTTTTGGCTGGGCAGGGAGAGGAGGACATGGCCCTGTGATGCTGACGGTGAGCATTAGGGGTAGGATTGGCTAGGGTCTCTGGTCCAATCCTGGTTGGCTCTCTGGGGTCTGTGAGGCCTCCAAGAGCATGTCCTCCCAGCCTTTGATGCTGGGATAGGAGGACCCAGATTTTCTCTGAATCTCTGGCCTCCCCAAGGCCATCAGCCTCTGGGTAAGTTTGAGCTTCCCCAACAGGTGCATGGCACAGGTGGACTCTCCTCCTCATATGGGGGCTATTATTGCTCTTGGCTTCTCTCATTGCCAGCACTCTCTCGGGTTCAGAGGCTGGTCAGAGACTTGTACCAGAACCTGCTCCTAACTAGTCCTTTCTGACACAGAATAAGCAAGAAGCAGCTTATGGGTCTGGGAGCCAGACACCTCTCCACAAGCAGGCTTTCCGCTGCCACAGGCTGAGATCTACCAGGGCCTTCCCAGAGGATAGCTCAGGCTGGGAACACCAAGGAGGAAAACAGTGTAGATAAGTCAATGGCTAGGCTGGCCCAACCCAGGGCCCCTGAGACTGGCTCATCAGGGAGTCTTTGTGCCCCCTGAGCATCACAGAAAAAGTGTCTGTCTTAGCCCACCCTTCCCTCTCAGTGTTCAACACTACTATATGTTTCACCCCGTGCAGGGCAGTGGCTCACCTCCAGCATCCTTCAAACAAACTTCAGCAGACCTAGACTGACCACAGGTGGCTGGGCAGTGTCCTTTTCTGGGCAGACTTTTAGGGATGTCCTGTGGACAGGGAAAGGGGAATTTCTGCTGGTTCATTTGTCTGCCTCTCAAATGTGGCCCTCAGAGAGGGTTCTATGGTGGACCTGAGCAGGGAGGCACTAGGCAAGCAATCTTGGGGCCTGCAGCTTTAGGAGGACACCAGCTCATTAATGTTTCTGCCCGTTAATGTTTCCTGGGGCCTGCAATTCCATCACTGCTGATTTATTCTTTAGATTACGTTTTGCCTTCTTTCTGCAGGCTTATTTTAAAAAGGCAACTGTCACGTGAGAGAGAATAGATTAAGTCCCTGATCTTAAAAAGCATGTTTACCAGATCCTTTCTGTCCAACAATAGAGATGTAGACACAAACTCTGAGCTTCCTAAGGGTGATGTTAATGAAACGGGGAAGGAAGTGCAAAAAGGAAGGTTATGGGGGAGACCTCCACCACCCCATCCTCTGTGTAGAACTTCTGGTGTGATTTTTGTCCCTCTTTGACTCTCTGCCCTGTTCCAGGCCTGCCCCAAACACTGGGCCTCAGTTTCCCCTCCGTATGGCAAGAAGGCTGGGCAGGGAAGGCAAAGTGATGGGATGTCAAGGCTGCTCAGAGCCTATGTTTCTTGGATCTCTACCTGCAGGTTTCCGAGAGAGTGCCTTCGCCTACGCCATCGCCGCAGCTGGAGTAGTGCACGCAGTATCCAATGCTTGCGCCCTGGGCAAACTGAGGGCATGCGGCTGCGATGCGTCCAGGCGCGGGGACGAGGAGGCCTTCCGTCGGAAGCTGAACCGCCTGCAGCTGGACGCGCTGCAGCGCGGTAAGGGCCTGAGCCACGGGGTTCCTGAGCACCCGGCCCTTCCCCCTGCCAGCCCTGGCCTGCAGGACTCCTGGGAGTGGGGCGGCTGCAGCCCCGACGTGGGTTTCGGGGAGCGCTTCTCTAAGGATTTTCTGGACTCCCGGGAGCCTCACAGAGACATCCACGCGCGCATGAGGCTCCACAACAACAGAGTGGGGAGGCAGGTGAGAGCCGCGCCCCCACCCTTCCCCCTGCTTCAAATCCCTCTGCTTAGGGCCTCTCCCCTACCCCTGCCCGTCTTGGCTGGGGACTACACCACTCCCCCTAACTCAGCAATTTTCTCATTGCCCCCTCCTAATTCAGTCAACAAACATGTGCTGAATACCTACTATGTGACAGGCACTGGACTAGGCTTGGGGATAGAAGCCAGAAACAACCCCAGCCCTCATTCGCTCATTCTCTGTTTAGCATCCTGCTGCGAGCATTTCCTACGGGAGCGGTGGAGAGAGACTGGGTTACATGGTCAGACCTCTGCGGTCTCCATCTGGCTCTGCTACCCTGTCTCCTCTATAAAATGGGAAGTTTGGTCCAATCAGCTCTAGTGTTCCATGATTCTGTGATATCCTCTGCTGCTATCACCCTCCTCTCCCAACCTTCTGTGCAGAACAGGGAATTCCTCAGAGTGCAGGTTCCTAGGGGCCACTGTGTAACCGTGTTCCAGTCGCTTTCCTCCTTTCTCCCCTGCCTTAGAATGTTCATACTACCTCAAAGGTCATTCGTTTGAAAGGGGGGGGGGCGGGGGAAGGGAGGAAAAAAGGAAGGAAAGTAATCATAGCCTGCGTCTATTGTTTACTATGTGTTAGGCACTGTCTGGAATACTTTATTACATATTAGCCTATTTAATCCATCCAACTACCTATGAGGGCACTATTATGAACCTCAGGTTAAGATATGGAAGCTGAGGCACAGAGAGACTAAACTTGCCCAAGGTGGTGTAACTAGTGAGAAAGTGAGAGAGGCAGGGTTCATCCCAGGCAGTTGAGCTGTGAGGCCGTGCTCTTCTGCTTACAGCATAGTCTACACTGTGTGCACACCTACATTAAGATGCCTCCTTAGCTCTCATGTTAGCTCAGCACCTTCCTTTCCTGGTTATTCAGCTCCCACCCCCTTCTCTCAGCCTGCTCAGGCCTTGGTCGCGGCTTCCCCTGGCTTTGGCTGGCACCTTCTCCATTTCATTCCTGGCCTCTGAGCCCAGCCTGGTTCACCTTCTCCTTCCACAAAGACTCCAAGCTGATTCAGCTCTTCCCATGCTGACTTAGAAGTGAGGTCAACTGAGGCATATCTACTGTCCAGTCATGTCCAGCTCCCACCCAGCCCTGCCCGGTCCATGCAGTTCTTTTCCCAAGCTTCAGTACCATCCCAGCCCATACCGACAGTGCTTCCTCCTCCTCCTCGTTAAACTGGTTAATTAGTGGCTGCTGTCTGTGGGAAGCAGATGTTCTAGAGCTGTTGGCCGGGGGAGGCACTGGGCTGGTTCCCACGTGGTGCTGACACTGCAGGCTGTGCAAACAGGCTGTGTGTGGAGCCCTTTAAAATTTGGAGGCGCAAGGTCCCTCTCTTATGGCCCTACTGCCCAGGGTTGAGGGTCCCAGGTCATTGCTGTCCCTGTTTGAGGGTGTGGTTTTGGAGTGGAGTTGGGGGAGAGGACGATGTGGTCAGCTTCCTCTAGGGAGGGCCTCTGGGGAGAATGATGTGAAGGGCTTCTTTGGGAGGAGAATCCAGAGCAGGTTGAGAGCTGGGCAGGGCATGAGGAGGTTGTGTTCCAGTAACTACCTCTTTTAGAGGTCTGGGAATCTCTCTCCACTTTCTTTGGATTGGGGCTCTGGCTCTCTGGGTTCTGTTCCCATTCTGCCTTCAGGTAGAGCCTTTGGGCCCTGTTGGTGTTCACCATTTCCTAGGAGGAACGGTGGCACTCAGCATTGGGCAGAGTAAGCCCCAGCCAGTATAATGGGGGGAAGGGGTGTCTCTCCAGCTCCTGTCCCCACCACGCTCCTTAGGTTCCCTGCAAAGGGTTGCAGAGCGTGGAGGAGGAAAGGGGCTTTCTCAAACTCCCCGCAGCTCCCCGCTCACAGCCTGGAGCAAGGCCAGAGGCTTTGGGGCTGGGTGTAGTGGGGCCAGCAGCCCCTGCTCCTGAGGGATGGAAGGAGAGGGAATTTCCCTGAAGATCTGGGATCCCCCCTCAGGAAGCAAGCGCCTCCAGCCCCAAGGGCCCCCTGCAGGTGCTGGAGAAAGTGGGCAGGAGAGGAGGGGAGCAGGAAGGAGGGAATTCCCCCAGGTATGGCCTGGTGGGAGGTGGATGAGAGCAGCAGAAAAGCAGGCAGAGTTCTCCGGACTGCCTGGCTCAGGAGCTATGCCACCCCTGCCTCCCAAGCCCTCCTATGGACTCAGCTTTTGCCTCTGTTCAATGAGAGTTAGTTTCGAAAGGCTCTGATTCTCGCGGGCCAGTGTCTCGTGTTGGAAGAAGGGCAGTGGGGCTGGGCACGGGCATCACCCTTCACGGTGCCTCCCTCTGCAGGCGGTGATGGAGAACATGCGGCGGAAGTGCAAGTGCCACGGCACGTCAGGCAGCTGCCAGCTCAAGACGTGCTGGCAAGTGACTCCGGAGTTCCGTGCCGTGGGGGCGCTGCTGCGCAGCCGCTTCCACCGCGCCACGCTCATCCGGCCGCACAACCGCAACGGTGGCCAGCTGGAGCCCGGTCCCGCGGGGGCACCCTCTCCGGCCCCGGGCATGCCTGGGCCTCGCCGCCGGGCCAGCCCCACCGACCTGGTCTACTTTGAGAAGTCGCCCGACTTCTGCGAGCGCGAGCCGCGCCTGGACTCCGCGGGCACTGTGGGCCGCCTGTGCAACAAGAGTAGTGCAGGCCCCGACGGCTGCGGCAGCATGTGCTGTGGCCGCGGCCACAACATCCTGCGCCAGACGCGCAGCGAGCGCTGCCACTGCCGCTTCCACTGGTGCTGTTTCGTGGTCTGCGAGGAGTGCCGCATCACCGAGTGGGTCAGCGTCTGCAAGTGAGCAGAGGGCTCTCTTCCCCGAGACTGGCCCTCTGACACTTGTGATCTTGGCCTGTCAGTGTCGCCTTGGCTCCCGGGAAAGGACATTGGACCACATGATCTCATAGGAACCTCCCAGTTCTGAGGCTCGTCATGTTTGCAAATAAGGGACAGTCCAGGCCTGCCTAGACCCCACCACTTACTTCTGTGGGCTCCAGGACTGACCTGCCTCCCCATTCCCTGCCCCTCAGATTGTTCAGTTGGGCTGGGGATTGCCCCACACTCTAGGGCAAGTGTCAGCCTGGCAGCCCCAGGCCTGTCTCCTTTCATCCCTTCACGTCTTTCTCTGAAGTGGGAAGGAATGAATGGAAACTGATAGGCAGGAAGAGGAGGATTTAGAAGAAGAAATGGACATAATTGAGCTACAGTGATTCTAGAGAGGCCCCCAGACACCCTCCCCCACAGACCTCTGCCCCTCATCTTTCAATTAACAAATAATTTATTTTGCACTCTTTGTGGCCTGGCACTCTGCAGGGGATGAGGGGTGCTGGGGATACAGATGTGAATAAGAGAGACACAGCACCTGCCTTCTTGGAGTTTACATTCTGGCTGGGGGATATGGACAATAAAGTCAATACACAAACAAGGTCATTTCAGACAATGCTATGTGCGATGAATAAAATAAAGAGGATACTGGATGTAGCGTGATTTGGAGGGAGTGGGGCTCCTTTAGATAAAGCCATTGGTCCTGGAAGGCCTCTTGGAGTTGTGATACAAGTGCTGAAACCCGCATGATGAGAAGAGCCAGGCAGGATAAGGGCTTTCCAGGCAGAGGCCACATAAATGCAAAAGCTCTGAGGAGGAACAGCCGAGGCCAGTGTGACTGGCATGAAGAAATGAAAGAACAGATTAGCAGGAGAGGAGCTGGGGTGGGAAGGGAGAGTCACATCACATGTCCTTCTAGGCCATGGTAAGGAGTTTTATTTAAGAGGAAAGGAAACCTTCAGAGGGTCTCAAGCAGGTGAGTGTCATGGTCTAATTCCCACATGGATTGCTGTATGAGGAACTAGCTGAAGGGAGACAAGTTGACCGTAGGGGGTGGGGTCAGTCAGGAGACTATAGCCATCTTTCAAACAAGAAATGAGACTTGGACTGGATGGAAGCAGGAGATGTTGACAAGGGGCTGGGTCAGGAGCCCTTGATGCCAGACCTCTAGCAGTCCACCTTGTGCCTGCACCCTCTGCCACAAGCCAGGACGAGTGGCGGTGCCCAGCAGCACCCGTCAACCGAGACAGGAGTCACTCTGAGAGGAGTAATCCTGGGCAAGACCCAGCTCAACCCAGCCCAGCGCCCGGGGGAGCAGGTGGGGCTAGGAGGTGCGGCTGGGAGGAGGGTGGCGGGGGAGGGCTAGGAGACTCACTGTCTGGATTCCAGTCTCTCTGAGTCCAGGCAGGGGAGAGGGAGTATATAAGTCTGGAGGTGGGGTGGGGGACACTTTTTCTGGGCCTCTTGTACCCCCAGATCCCCAACTCAGGTTGCCCTTGACAGGTCAGCAACGCCCCCCTCCATACCACCATGAGAACACTGCTGAGCTGGTCCAATGTTGACTCTCCTCAGCTCTCAGATTTGATGTTTTTCTGGAACAGACCCTCAAGGAGGAGGGTGGTGGAGAGGAAGGTGGGATCAGGATCTTGGGGAAAGGACACTTTACCTACTTCATCCAGACCTTCTGCTGCTCACAGCTGGGGATCCTGCTGTTTGCCTCACTCAGTTCACCCCAGAGTGGCACACTTCTTGATGAACCAGACAAGGATGAAGTCTTATTGCCTCCCCAGTTGCCAGCCTACAAATCCCCCCATATTCCCCTAGCTCTGTCCCATGTATCCCTACCCTTGGGGAAGGGTGAGAAGGAAAGGATGCACCCCTGAGTTGCACCAGCTGGAAGACTTGACCCCATTAATTTGTCCTCAGCTTCCTCCCCTCCAATGCCTTCATCCCAGCAGCTCCCAGACATGCCTAAAGTAACATGGCCTTCCTTCCACATGTTCAGCTCTATTGACTCTGTGGAATACAGGGTTTCTCTCCCCATCCCCCAAAAAGACAGCCCCACAGGCATGCAGGCGGGTGAGAGGGTGAGAGTCCCTGGGGAGGAGGGGTAGGCAGGAACAGCCAGACACACCTGCCTCATTCCTTTCCTCTTGTTCACCCAGGAGAGAGCTGTGGGGGCTGGGTTCCCTGCCCCCTTCCTCCCTTCCATCCCAGGGAGGAGGCGAGAAGGGGGGAATGGTGGCCTGGGGGGGTGCACTTCCACCCCTAGCAGTGTCCACTACAGCATTACCTTTGGCCTCACCCTCCTCTGCCTTCCAGGTTTAAGAGGACAGAGCTGGGGAAGCGAAACGGAAGATGTGGGATATAGGATCAGGGTTGGGAGAATGAGACAGGAGTTGTAATACTGCAGAGCATGCTGCTTCTAGAGGGAGGGATGAACAGTGGGGTGAGGCCGGAGGGCCGGACACCAGTCCAGTCAAGTTATGGTGATCTGACATATGTTAGTCTGACCTGTACAGGAAGAGAGGAAAAGTTGGGGAAAGAGCAAATAGGGTGTTGCCCACCTTCATCCTCTCTCTGGGTCAGAAGCTGACTAGAGTCCTGGGACCAAAGCTGGACCCCATAATTGAACAGGCAGGGGTGTGGGGGACTTAGTAAGGGCCCTGAAGGGAAATGTGGAGGTGATGAAGGACAGGAAAATGGGATCCAAGAGGCACTGGGCTTATGCATACTGGCTGAAGGTCCAGGCAGGAATCAATGTGCTGATTGCAAATAGGGGAAAGGGGCTGAAATACAGTGTGACAGTGGAGGTAAATGGAAGAACTTGACGACAACTTGGAGAGGACCAGAGTTGAGATTTGGCAATGAGAACAGGAGGTGGACCAAAGAACAGGAGGTAGGAAAGAGGACCCTCTGTACCCCCAACACCTTTCACCTTGATGGACACTGAGTCCTTCCTCTCCTTGCAGGAGGAAAAAACAGTATGGTCTAAAGGAGCCTGGATGGTCCCAAAGGGAGGAAGGGAAGGAACTAATAGAGAATGAGGGTGGTGGACAGAACAGCAAGCAGTGGTGGAGTTAAGGGTCAGAGAGAAGCAGCCAGACTAGGGTGAGGATCAAAACCCAGGCATCCTGCTTTTCAGTCACCCAAGGTCCCAGGGTCGGAAAAAAAGAGCCAAGTGGCAAAGGCAGAGGCCTTGGGAGCTGTAGGAGGGCCCCAATGGGTTAGAAGTAAGGTCCGGGGGCATCTGGGCCCTCCCTCTTCTCCCCCCAAATTAAGGCGCCTCCAGCTAGCCCCCGGCAGGGGGCCTTCCACGTTGGAGTTTGGCCAGGCCGTAGTCGCGGTCCCCCTCCTCCCCTCCCACCCCCACTTCTCATGTGGTTGCCGGCAGCTGCCTGCGGTCGCCCCAACCCCTGCGCTCAAGGCACGGGGACTTTCCAACAGGGGAAAAAATGACTTAATGAGAGTGGGAGCCGGGGGCGGGAGGGGACAGGTCCCTGTAATCACCGCTCCGCTGTGGGGCCTGCGCGCCTCCGGGCCCTTCCCGGGCTTCCTGAAGCCAGCGCCCCTCTTGGGCTCTGCTGGGGGAGGAGGTCGGGCTAGCGAACAGTGGGGATCCCTTTTCAGGTTCCTGGATCTCTGGGGCCCCCGTCTGCCTTTGCTCCCTAGGCTTGCAGTGCGCGGAAGCTGGAAATGCCCCATGATCCCTTTCTGGACTTTGTCCTTGAAATTGGTAGGGGACCGTCTCTCCCAGAAGCTAGGGTCCTCTGCTGGTGGATTAGAGGGGTGAGGGATCTTGAGAGCCCGCTGCCACTTCGCGGCTGCGCACTTCGAAACGCCCCCAGTTGCTGTGGCAACAAGGGCAGTCGAGGTGTGTCCGCGGGGCTGGGAGGCGCCCACACCCCCTTTTCTAGCCGCCCTCGTGGCCAGGCCCCGCCGCTGCGGTACGCGGGGGTGGGGGTGTGCCGTTACCATGGCAAGGGTGCGCTAGTAGGGCACATTCTTCCCCAGGGTGGGAGCGCCCTAGGGATACAAGAAGGGGGGTGACGGGGGCGGCAGAAAGAGGAGGGGGGGTCAGGACGAGGGAGGAGACTCGGACAAGACTAACCAGGGCTTCTGGGGTGAGGGTGGGGAGTTTGGAATCTGTTTCCCTCCCCCGGCCTAGCTCTTCAAGGATGGTCCTCTCCTCTCGCACTCTTGCTGGGGTTTAAGCCCCCCCAACCCCCAGTTTCCGGGGAAGGGATTCCCGATTACCGACCCGAAGGTCTTTTGGTTTTCTCCGAGGCCAGGGTCTCCGAGCTAAGTGTCCGTCCCCTTCCCCCGAGCAGAGCTGCAGCCCAGACTGTGACCCGAAGCCCTGCAATTAAGCCCCTTAGCCGCCCCTGTGCTGCCCGCCGGTCCTCTCTGCCAGGCCCGGCCTGCACCGCCAATTACAGCCGCGCGCAGCAGCTGATTACTCCCGAGTCCGGGAAGAGGCCGGGGGCGGGAACAGCAGGCAGGTCAAGGGGGCGGGGTCCCTGGGGTTGTCCTTGGCCAGGGGTCCTTAACTGCAGCTTCAGGCTGAGTCTAGTCCAACTTCTCTACTCCAGACAATAGGCGGAGGATGGCTCTACTAAGTGTTCTGTCCTGCTGTGCCTCGGTTTCTCCTGGAATGCACACCGCACCCAGGGCAGAAAGAACACAGACAAGGGTGTGTGTGTGCGTGCGTGCGTGTGTGTGTGTGTGTGTGTGTGTGTGTGTGTGTGTGTGTGTGTGTGTGTGTGTGTGTCTGAAGTCGACGGCTGGGTACTAAAGAAGCTTAAAGCCCTCAAGGCCGGCTCTCTTTACTGCCGCAGACCGTTGCGTGGGTCTCTCCTGGCCCGAGCCCCACCCCGTGGACTCAGCTCCGTCTTGCTAGTCCCAGGGCCACTGCCAGCCCATACCTCTTTTGTGCGACTCAGAAAACGTCTCCCCCTCTGGGCGGGAGACTCCCCACTTCTGCCCCACAAGGGGAGGCAATCGGGAGCCTGCAGAGCAGCGACAGTGGGGTATTCTGCCGCGACCCTTGCCCCCTGTTATCCTTTCTTCGCTCTTTCTCCGCCTACGGGTCTGCAGAGGCTGGGGTATATAGCTCGCGTCTCCCGCGGTCCAGCTGCCCACATCTGGCCAGCAGCTGGGACCCGCCCACTACGAACTGCTGCGGACCAGCGCCCTCTGTTGGTGCCCAGCAGCGGCGGGCCAGCTTTTGCGCCTGGGCTGCCCGCCGCTACCGCCGCCGCCAGCGTCCTGGGGTCTTGCTCTATTTCGGTGGGTTTTGGTTTCACCGTTCGGCGCATCCTGCCCTTGAAAACAACCTTCCCTTTGCCTCGTGTCGCTACCAAATGTGACTCCTCTAGGTCTTTTGCTTTCCGCCGGCCGCGGCCTTGCTGACCCTCTGTCCTCGGTCCTTGCGTGCCTAAAACCCTGTTCGACGCTTTAGCTGTTCTCCAACCGCCCATCTTCTCTAGTCTTCCCTGCTTCGAGGGCAAGGGCTGTGGCGCGGTCTTCTGGCGCCCAAGATAAAAGTCCGCAAATAGGAACATGATAATATAAATCACCGCCC